TTGGAAATAATAAAATTGAACAAGCTTCAACTTTAAATTTACTTTAATGTAATTTTTCAAGCCTCTGGAGTTTGGTGGAAACAAATTAGAACTATTTGTGCCAAAGCCAATAATAACACTAAAGCAATTTGGGACGTTTTTTTACTCCAGAGGAGAGAAATGCAGATCATTTTCAAAGTTAGAAACTGTAATGCTGGGAAATGCACAGGAATCCACCTACATCTATTTAAAATCCTTGTACATTGTTCAGACTATGCTTCTACAAGTGATCTTCCATATACAGTACTATGCTGTGTTTCAAATGCTTTGTTCCCCACAGAAACTGGTTTGATTTCATTGGAGATGAGAATCCATGTTTGCTGATTCTTTTACTGTCTCAAACCCATTTTCTTACGGCTTCAGAGCTTCATTAATTCTCCTTGATGGCTTTTCATCAAGGTGGAAAGAAAAAAAAAACCTCAACTCTGTGTTATTGTGATCGTTCTGGCAACACTTTGCTGCCCTAGGTTTAGAGTGTACTAAAGCAAGGAGACTCTTTGACATAACTTGGACGGATTTGGAGGCCACAGCCAACATTAAGTGGTGGGTGGGCTATAAATTAGAAACTTTATACCAGCAAACATCTTATTCCAGCTTGTTTCTCCAGTTTTGGTGTGTTTCAGTTTCTTACCCTTAGCAGTACTAGGTCTCCAGTCCCTGTGCTTCAAATTATGTGTAAACAAATGCTTACCACCTCTGAACAAAAAACTAATCTCTAATCAGAAAAAAGAGGCAATTGTTTCGTACTAAGATTGAAATCCTACTAACCTCAATCAAGTTACTATGTTTCTGCCTGCAGTGATTTCCATAAGAACACGTAAAATGTCTTATTCTTGAAGTGACGACATTATGAAATTTCAGTTTATATATTTTTTCCTTTTGCAAGATTCCTATTTTATCCTATTTATATTTGATCTTAAATTGCAGTCTGTTTTACATTTAATTCAATTCTCTCCTTTCTCCAATTTTAAAGTCTTACCTTTTTTAAAAAATATATATATTGTTACGCTATCTTTGTTGTGTTTGACCATTATTTCTGAGATGTTGGTTAACTCTGCTGGTCATTGACTATAGTTAAATGAGTTTGAATTTGAGTGTTGGTACAGAACTAATTATAAAAGTAACAACTGAATTTACAATTGAATCCATATTACATTTCATACTGCATGTCAAACAGTATTTGAATATTTGTATGTTCAATGTTTTACAGATAATTATCCTGAATATTTAGCCGTTTGAAATATATTTATACATAAAATCAAAAATTATGGGGATTTTGCATATTCCTATAATACTGAATTATGACTACGTTCTGTGATATATCAGGGACGTAGAAAATAGCATGTTCTGTAAATCAAGGAAATAGTAATTTAGACCATGGCTCCTGAGCAGCTTATCAGATCAAGAGAAGTTTACCTTGCAAACCTAATGAAGTCACCACCCTAAGTTTATCCACTTGTTGGTTAAGAGACACACCTACGACGAAGGCCTTCAGGTAAGACCCGGACTCGTCGTTTTTTAATCGATGGTCAAGACGGCATCACCCACTCTTGGCCGACTTAGGGTCATCACCTAATGAACAGAGGATGTTACTCTCGGGAGTTCATTAAGCAATCATTTTAAAATCTGCAACACCAGTCCTGTGCCATTTAGTCTCAGGATGGATTCAGACATCAAAAAGATATGACTACATTGGTAGTCTAAGGAGCAGTTTCAGACAGATAGGACACTATGTTCCTTTGGTAAAGCCTCACCATAAGTCACATTACAGCAGAAGTTTCCAATAGTGAATCTGGAGTTTTATCTTTAAGAATGTTTGGTAGTTTGTACATCACTTTTAACATCATTCATCAGACTTGTCAGATTGCTTTCTTGCTAAATATATGACTGCCTAGGCACTGTGCCCCCCCCAAAAAAATTAAATTTAGATAACATTTAGGGAAATAAAACATAGAAGAGCATGGGCAGTGGTCAGCTAGCTAGAAGGTACAAATAAAGAAATATTAATGTGGGAAAATTCATTATAATGTCTGATATTGTTCTATTTTGCCCACTGCTAGTGCCTTCAAGAGATTGCAAGAATTTGCCAAGGTCTTTCATGAGAGATTTGTAACTGGAGTTAGATCCAATCCTGAAAAAGAAAAGCCTGTGAACCTGGGGTTGCTTGTAGAGTCTAATACAGGGCTTTTCAACCTTTTCACCCATTGTACCACTTTTAGGATATGGCAATATCCCAGTACCACCAGGCACCTAGCAAGATGTCAAAAACGTGATGACCAAAAAAAAACAAACGGAAAAAAGTGATAAAGTACAGGAAGTCCTTGACTTACAACAGTTCACTTAATGACTGTTCCAAGTTACAATGGCACTGAAAAAAGTGCCCCCCATGCCACAGCCGAGCAAGTCACCTGCCTGCCCACCCAGCAGCACTTTTCCTCCTGTCCGAGGTTTTCATTGTTGTGAGCATTTCTGTTGAGGATTGGCAGCGGGGATGGGGGGGTGTTTGGTTTTTATTCCCTCGGTCTGCTGGGTGGTTGTAGCAGGTTTTGGTCACTTCACATGACCCTGGGACACTGTGACCGTCATAAATATGAATCAGTTGCCAAGCATCTGAATGTAAATCACAAGACCCTGGAGATGCTGCAACATTCCAGCTGATCGGCGCTTCTTCTGGGCTCAGCAGAAGCACCAGGATCAGTGCTGAGCTCCAGCTGGAGCCTGGTGCTGATCCTGGTGCTTCCACTGAGCCCTGACAGTCCCGAAGAAGTGCCAATCAGCTGGAAAGCGGCACTGATCCTGGTGCTTCCACTGAGCCCTGACAGCCCTGCAGCTCCAGCCATCTCTCGCTCAGGCTTGTGCAGTGCTGCCACTGGTTCAGCTCATTCCCCTCCCCCACTACCACTTTTCTAAGATGGTCGCGTACCACCTGCCAGGTGCCAATATACCATAGGTACCCATACCACTGGTTGAAAAGCCCTGGTCTAATATATCAGTGTCTTAGATAGATTAGATGGACAGGATGTATAAAGGGGGTGGAATACAAGGAAGGAAGAATATTAAAATAGGTCAACATAGTTCTGTATGAATGATAATTCCTTATCTGTTACACATAGTGAATAGAAGTTTTGTGTTTCTGATTTGTCATCTACATTTGTAGATGTAGAAGTTATCTGTGAAAAAAGCTTTGCTATTTCTTTTTATATTTGGTTGCACCACTGTTCATTAGGATGCATGCTTTCTTTGCTGCACTATATCCTCTTCACGCTTTTAGCTTATTTTTTTTTACATGTAAAAAACTTCTCAGTGACTTCCTAAGTAAAGAGTAAATAAGTGTCGTCGTCCTACGACGTAAAAATATACGAACTAAACACACGATGAACGACGTTTATAACGGAAATTACTAATTACATTATTAGTACCGCATGTCTCCGAAACAACGAAGATTGAAGAACTGAGACCGATTTCTTAGTCTTCGTCATGGAGGTACACGTGAGTATCTCCTTGTCAATTATTTGGATCCTGACCAAATTAATCCTATAATGCAGAGGTCCCCAACCTTTGGGTCACCAGGGACTGGTTATGTGGAGAGAGGTTTTTCCACGGATCGGAGGGGGCGTGGTTTCTCATGCTGCCTGCATCCCATGGATGGGGCTTTGCTTGTTTGTGTGGACCGATTGCTTACTCAGTACCAGTCCGCAGGCAGAGGGTTGGGGACCCCTGCTATAAGGCATAAAAAGATATTAATCCCAAAGGATTCAAACACTGTTTCTATCAATAAGCACAATATTGAAAGCACAGAACTATGTGCATGAACCCAAGATTACTTGATTACCTGATTAGGATTGCGTTAAAAAAATACTTTCTCATGAAATTGATGGTATAATTTTTGGGCATCCCAGATACAGTAGTTCTTGGAAGCTTGCCAATACAATCAGAATTAGATACAACTAATACAACTTTCCAAAGCTGTAACACTTCAAAGGATAACTGTAATGTTCCATAGTAGCTGGAAAATTGGCAGGTCAGGGAGAAAGATAGATACAGTTATACCTGACTTTCTACTTTTCACAAGTAGTTCTTGACAGAAGGAAAATGCTGAGATTTGGAATTCGCCAATTGTGGCCTAAAGTAAAATGATGCCAGCAAGACTGATTTGTCCAAATGCACAGCTTGGCTAAAGAATTAGATATTTCAGTGTACTATTCGCAAGAGCCAAGTCCTTCTGTCAAAACGATTTTCCATTTAGGAACCATCATAGCTTCCAGGCGTGGGTCTGACATTGTCAGTGTGTGCAAGAGTATCCAAGCAAACAAACTGCCTTTTTCCATAATGACACCCGTGCCTCTAGTGGCACAGATTGGGTTTGAGTAAAACATCAGACAAAGTGCTTCCCAAAGTTGCAACAAAGCATCTCTCTTCAACTTATGAAAACCACCCTAGCTATAACAAGCCTTGTGTGGATGCTTTGAAAACTGTTGCCATCCATCTCCATGTGCCAAAGTGGGTGGCTGTATAGAAGCCAAAATGCTTTCCTAGCAAACGCCTGAGCTTTTAGAACACTTGGCTGCTTTAAATGGTTCAAAGGGAGATTTATTTTATTTACGCCTCTACTTTTCATAATAGTGTGAGGCGTAACATATGATCACACACATATCAAGATGCTCCAAGTCAAGGTGCACAGTATTTAAATTGGTTATTAGGGAGAGAGAGAGAAAAATCACAAGAGCGCTTGTATCATCCTTGGTAGTAAGAATCCAGAAGTACAGTAGAATTAAAAGTTGCCATGTTAGGACCTTTAGTATGTATTGCTGATGGGCATTTTGATGGTAGAACTAATGTGCCTCTTTTTTAAAATACCTTTTAAGGAAAACAGCCAGTGCTTTTCACTTTGTCATTGTGTTCCTTAACCAATTGTCTTGTGTTGATTATGCTTTTTTTTTCCTTCCCACTCCAACTTACAGCAAACGTATGTGACAATGAACTTCAAATTTGCCAGAACGGAGGGACATGCCACAACAATATACGCTGCCAGTGCCCGGAAGGCTATACTGGTGTATTGTGTGAGAAGCGGAGTTGTGATGTGGATCCAGATGGCTGCAGCGAAAGTTCAGGGCAAGGAGCAATATCAATACAAATCCTGCTACTTCTACTACCACCAATTGCTCCATTGGGATTAAGTGGGCTTTTTATATTTTAAGCTATGCAGCTTGGGAGACATCAGCTTCAGACTGCATTGAGAGGAAAGTGTCCAGAAAAGAAAGAAAAAGAACCAGATGCAAATAAGAATTTTCAAAATAAGGGGGGGAATTATACAATTTTGACACATATATATAGACTAAAGAAAAGGCCTGACTGAACTAAGCCATATGTATACCTTGTGGACAACCCAACCATCCAAGACTGTTACTTCTTGGCTCAAGCTTAAGTGAGACAGCTGCCAATATTATTATAACTACTCAACACAACAACAGCTGTAGGCACTTGCGCAGGTTCAAAAAGGCTTGGGTAGCCACCCCCCGGATGGAAATCCAAGACAGAAACGACAAAAAAAACAAAAACCTTGCTCTTTCAAACTGGTGTGCCTCCGTACCTCTTCCCAGTGTGTGGACCAACCAAATAGAGGCATTCTTTGCTGTCAGTGCATTGTGGGTATAAGGAAATCTGTTTCAAAGCTGCCATATTGGCCTGCTTCAGCCCCTTAATCCCCTTTTCCAACTGTGCTTTAGTGAACGTTGCTCTGTAACCTTTGTTGGTTGAACGATCTCTTTGTCTGATGTTAGTAATGCACATGTGTACCAGCCCCAACTCAATAAATCTCAAGCCGGTCATATCCTTGTATATCTTAGAAGCACTGTGCCCTGTCGACACAGTGCTCCCCTATTGTACAAGAGTGGCAGTAGGACAAAAAGAAAGTATATTTATCCTTTTGTAATCAAATGAAGTTATTTTTCTTGACTAACGTAAGGCGTAGATTTTTTGTATTATTGCCAATTTGTGTTAACAATTGAGTAATGTACTTTAATCCTAATCAGATGGGGGGAGGGGAAGAGATGATTTTTAGTTCCTCTTTTGTTTTCCCTTTTTTATTCATTTAATTGTGCAGAGATTTCTCTGTATGGGCAACGTGCTGGCATCAAAGAATATCAGTTTACATATTATAGCAAGTGTAATAACTTACCACCAAAGGACATTCTAAATGTTTTCTTGTTGCTTTAACACTGGAAGATTTAAGAGAATAAAAATTCCTGCATAAACTATTTCTGGGGATTAGTACTGCAGTTTCTTGGTATTATTTTACCAGGTAGAAGACAAAGAAGTTCCAGTCCAGACTTGTGCAAGCACAGCAAAAAGTTAAAACTCAAATCTCCATGTTGTCTACAGAGATTAATTAAGAGTGACAATAACATGAGATCAATTGTTGAGGTCAGCAGAAACTGGATAAGCTCCAATCGATTCAAGTTAGACTGCAGTCCTAACTGGGAAGTAAAACCCACAGCATTTAATAGGATGTTACAGTATTCTGAAAATTGCATTATCAAAATATTTATTATTATAATTTCAGTTTAATTCACCTATTCATTTTAACACCTATGGGCACAAGTCAAACATTGTGCAAGTAAGTTTCCATTTGCATAACAATACTTCTAGCTTCTTTCTTCTTTCTGCAATTTCCCACATTTTCTAAAATGCTTAACTTTTTAGAGGAAAATATGAATCCCTTTTCATCAAGGCCAGGATTTAATGCAGTGTTATCATCACGGATAATTCAGATGTTCTGGCTGAAGCTTTCCCTCAAAATTCCAAATTCAGCATTACCATTTAATATCAAAATTCAGTTTTTTGTTACTTATTGGTTAAGTGGATGAAATTATGATACCATATATCCTGTTTTTAAGGGTTCAACTAGACACCAAATGTTAACAGGATAATTGAGACAATATGGATAATTTTTAAAAAAACCTTAAATTAACTTTTAAAGGAACTTAAAATCCAAGATCATAAAAAGTGTTTTGCCTAATTGGAAAAAAAAGGTTGACGGTACTGGGAATGCTTTGTGGAAGATATTTCCAAAATGTGTAGGGTGCCACAGCCCAGAAGATTTTCTATTTGCCATTTTATTTGAAACAACAGACATTTAGTCCATACAGGAGACTCTGGAATTAATTTGGGTGAATGGAAGTGGAAATAACTGTTTCTGTGGGTAAGAAACAATTACATGTTGAGTTAGTATTCAATCTTTTTTCATCATGTGGTCAAATATTGAGGGCATTTCTGAACAAAACTCTGATTTGATAATATCAGCCAGGTTGGAAATTTGTTTCCAGCTTAGTTGTGGTGCAGTTGAAACCAAGCAAACTTGTATTTCTTTCTGCAGCACATTGATATGTTTTCCTATAGGAAACCATTCTTGCCTCACTCCACTTCTGGATCTATGGTTTCCCCTTTGAAGGTCCTTTCCTTTAAAGCAGGGGTCCCCAACCCCAGTATGTGGACCAGTACTGGGCCGTGGCATGCCAGCAACTGGTCCGCACAAACAAGCAAAGCCCCATCCGTGGCATGCAGGCAGCACATAAAACCACACACCCTCCGGTCCACAGAAAAACCTCTCTCCACAGAACTGGTCCCTGGTTGGGGACCTCTGCTTTAAAGGGAATCCTGGCTAGACAGTTTGTATCTCTCCCTTAGTAGTCCAAGCTACAGAGTGGGAATAAAATATATAAGACTATCAGTTTCCCCCTGGAATTGCAGTTAATTTTTCTACAAAGGGCCAGACTCCTTGCATTTTTATTCCCCCCCCCCTTTTGTGTGGAATTAGGATTACAGAGAAGGATTTTTCGAACTATAGACCTATGGCTGCTTGCAGTGAGACAGTGATTGATCAAACAGTCCATGGTCCTTGTGCCCCATGTTTCTGAGCTAATAGAATTAAACTTCCAGATCATTTCTTCCTAAGAATCAGTAATGAAAGTTATCAGTGACATCAGCTGGACAGTCAAAAGAGGCAAGATGGCAGTTAGAGCAGCACCCATCTCAATCAAAGCCTTCTCCCTTTTGTACATGCGTCAATGTCACACACACATATAAACAGCAGAATTTCACCTGCAAGGTCATGATTGCTCTCCTGCCTTATCTGATCCAGAGTCCATTGGAAATAGTGTTGTAGAAGCATATGGATAATACCAGAACTCTTTATTGTTTTTACAAAGTTATTTCAAAGCTCTAGAGCAGGGGTAGGCAACCTTGGCTCCTTTATGACTCGTGGACTTCAACTCCCAGAATTCCTGACCCAGCATAGTCCATGAGTCATAAAAGAGCCAAGGTTGCCTACCCCTGCTCTAGATAAAGAAAAGACAAAAAAAAAATTTGCAGGCTGTGATAATATTCGCTGTCAAAATTCCACCAAGGACAATTTGTTTTATTATATACTTGCTGGAAATATATGCATATGTTCATGAAACAGATTCAGGTTACGGTGAAAAAAACTATGCTATGGTTATATTAATTCAGATCAACAGAACTTTTGTAAGCAACATATTGCCTTTTCATTTGCACATGTGCTCAAAGAATAGGGTTTCAATAGAGAAAGATTTGCTTCTGCTTTATCTAAGAAGACTGTGTTGCACCTAATGGTCTCAAGCTTGGGTGCTTAGGCCACAGTGTTTGAAAATCCATGAGGAGTCTGCTTCTTATGTCCTGTTAAGCAGGGGGGCCCCAACCCCTAGCCCACTACTGGACTGTGGCCTATTAGGAAATGGGTCATGTGAGTGGCTAGCCGGACTTCTCATAAACACAGCTCAAATTGCGTGAGCGATGGGCTGATGGGCATTACATGTGTGTGCCAGCCTGCCACTCCCTCAAGTTGAGCTGTGTGCATGCATGCCGGTCCGCCACTCACATGACCCAGTTCCCATCTTTCCCTCCCAGCCGGCCCGCCAAGCCGCAAAGGTTGATGGCCGCTGCTGTAAGGTAAGAAATGAATTATGGGGTTGATGTGGAAGAGAGGAAGGCACCTTGTACTAATTTACAGCCACGTGTCTCTTCAGTAATTGAGATCAACAGTTAGTCTGCTTTTGGGGAAAATGATAAGAAAGTGCAGGAATTAAAATGTTTAGGCTCATGTGAAAGGGTTTTATTGGATTCAATACAATAAGCACACTAAATCTCATTAAATAATGTGGATGTTTGGAGCTGAATCATATAAAAAATATACAGCTGTATTCCATTGGAATATGTTCAAGGGTTTCTGCAGAGGAATAACTGAAATCATAGAAGAGAAACAATGGACACTATTAGGATATCTTTGTGTCAATTACAGAAAACAAAATAACTGAGTTGGAAGGGACCTTGGAGATCTTCTAGTCCTCCTGCTTAGCAGGAGATCGTATACCATTCCAGACAAATGGCTGTCCAATCTCTTCTTAAAAACCTCCAGTGTTGGAGCACCCACAACATCTGGAGGCAAGCTGTTCCTATGATTAATTGTTCTGTCAGGAAATTTCTCCTTAATTCTAGGTTGGCTCTCCCATTGATAATCTTCTTGTCCTGCTCTTAGGTGCTTTGGAGAATATTGGAAGACAGCTATCATTTGTTGAGTGCTTCTTCTGTTATAAAATGGATATAGATAAAATAGATATAAAAGTGATAGTCTGGACAAAATCAGTCACATCCCAAAATCCCGCAAAGCTGGACCATTCCTAGGGGTACAGGGGTAGAAAGGAAGAGAAATTAGCAAAGTTAGAGACTTCAGTAGGAGCAGCTTATGGGAAAATTTTGCAGGGATAAACATCACTGAGAAATCTGTAAGACCTTTAAAGAACTTGGCCCCACAAACATGAACAGCATTACCCCCAAGGGAGGTTTAAGTGATGGTGTTTCAAGTTAAGGTGATTTGCTTGCATCTTTGTTATCTCAGTGAAAATCATCCAAATACATTTCTGGAAATCTTAAGAGAAAGATTTTTCAAACTCTTTTTGGGAAAATATCTAGACCTTGACTGTAATAACACAGCAGTAGATCTTGTGTTAACTGCCCATCTGAAATATTCCAATATATCCTAAACTTTAACCTAACTAACAAGGTGTACAAACAACTCCTGTAATACATATGCACAAAAATAAAAAAAATATTTCTTCATGATTTCACCTTTAATAGACCCTTATTTAATATCTAAAAGAAGTGTCAAGCTGTAGAGTAGCATGAGAGTGGAAAGGGCTGTTCCAGCAAACAGTTTATTTTGAAGCCCAAGGTGTAATAAATCCTTGTTCCTACCTTTTATTAGCTCAATTAGTTTGAGTGACAGCAAGAGGCAGAGCAACCGAAAGAAGAAATTGAGGCAAAAACACCAACCATGGTTTCAAAAGCAAGTAGCCAGAGTTGGCAACAGAGGTGAATTTGCTGATGAGCAGATATTCTGTCAGACCCAGTGCAAATATTTTATCAATATAATTGCCTTGAGTGGAAAATAGTTAGCAGCAGCAAACTCCATGGAGAACTCCGTGTGTTATTCTCTCCCTTCCAGACTGGCCTCTGAAACAGCAGCTACAGTTTTAGAATTTCTTTGGTAGGTTTTCCTTCTTTCCTAGGAGAATGAATGTTTTCCTGGCCAATCGTCTGTGAGAGCAATCAACAGGAAAAAAAAGTCTAAAAAGCCTATAGATTTTCCAGATTTCTTTCTCAGGGAGCTTAAGCCCCGCCCCCACCCTCCGCCGCTGCCGCCCCCAAAAAACCCAACTGCAGCATTGAGTGACGTGTGTCAAGACCACTGTACTAATGCAGTTGGTGGCCTATTTTGTTATTCACACCAGCAGCCTCTTAGGGTATACTGGAATAAGATAAGCAAAGATAAATTAAAATTTTGGCTGACTGCCAGCCCCATC